CGTTTATCAAAGAGATGTACATATAGCGTGTGGCAAGCCCCCCTTAATACGAATATAATAATACACAGAATACGTGTTTGTGGTGTTACATTTTGCGGAGAATGTTTGTCTCGAAAATCATGAAAATAATGCATTACAGAAATAAGGTTTCTTATTCGATGCTGTACTCTTATAGATGTCATATTTTGCATAAAGTAAACAGTGGTTCAGGTATCTATTTTTTTCCAGCTTTTCAATAATACCATACAATATAACAATTTTTGTTAGTGCAATATGTTCAGAAAAAGTGTCGAGCCACCATAGGCGAAAGTCATTCCAAAATTTAGTAACATAACTACAATCCACAAAAAAGTGACTTAGATCTTGTTAACTATCACAAAAAGGACACTTGTCCGAGTCTATAACTCTAATTTTCTTTAACCCTCAACAGTACACCTTCCCGGACTGATTAATCTGTACACCGCGGACCCCAGAACAGTTTTTTGCTAATTTTTAGAAAATATCATTTTCTAAACCCATTTCAGACTGAAGGGGCTTTTGAGGCCCAACTTTGATCTCAGATAGCGGCTAAACGGCTTGCGCTAGAAGTATCAAATTTGGAGACCTTTCCTAAAATATCTCTGGAAAAAAGTTCATATTAGTTTAATACTAGTAAGTTGATGTTTTTTGTGTTGCCATGGCAACGGGCTATTTTTTTGAAAATAGAAGTAATTTTGGTTTAAACATAAAAATTTTCTGTTTTATATTAAATTACACTTCTTTTCCAACATTAATAACATCTTACGTAATCAAATATAAGTTAAATCATTTAATATGCATAGAATATGCTAATTTGATGACGTCATTGGTCAAATTCCAATATGGCGGACTATATTATTAGCTCTGACGTCATATGACGTCATAATTACACCAAAGTTATTAAAATTTAACTCTATTACTACACCATTCTCTGAAAACTTGGTAGACATACGATGAGTGCATAAAAACATATAAAAACGGAAATAAGGTAATGTATAAGAACGCCAGTGTATCCATTATGATCGAGAGCCGGCTGGGGTCCGCGCGGACCCCAAAATAAAATCAGATATAATTTTTTTTATAAATGGTAGAAACGGAGTTTTCTGCACTATATTGAGAGACAACTTTGTGGGTGACAATTACCTAAAATTTCAGAAAAAAATCTTTAGAAACAAAAAAGATATTACAGAATATATAGTGCT